GTAGCGCTTACCCTCCCTTTCAGGTATATACAGAATACACTCACTGGGATAGGGTGAATCGTTAGCACCTCTGAGGATTATGTTACAATGCTAAACAAACCCAGCTTAGGGTTGATAGACACAATATTTTCCAATGATCAGCACAGTTCCTGTTAGAAAAAGCAGGGTTAACTCTCACACCTCTTGTGACCATCCTCTTGGAAGCTACAATAGGTAATGAGAAATGTCAAGTCCCAAGATCAATGAAATTTCAGGCTCTAGGGACAAAACAGGAATAGCATTGATCCTTTTAAAGAACACCAGTCAAAGGGTGAATGTAATATATTGCACAGAGAGGCTCAAGAGGATAAGCGGCCAAGTCCAACATACTTACCTGACAAAAAATTCAATCAGCTTTTAGCACAAGCTGCCTACCCTTCCTTTCTTTCATGCAGGAGTCTGATTCCAATTAAAGTGTGCAAATTAATTTTTATCACTTCCAAATTAGTTTCTGAATTTGTGTCTGTTTCAGATGAAAGCATCTGTCCCTCACTTTTCTGCAATTCTATCATCCACTTTGGTATCTGTTCAAAGACTCGGAGATAATTCTAATTTTCAAAGTCACTTGTTTGAAAGAGACATTCAATAAAGCAATCATAAAATATAAAAATAAAACAACTATAACGATACATGTTGAACTCCAGGGCATATCATGTACTCTCTTTGCTCCTTTTTGTGATGACTAATACAGTTGCTATGTGAGAAGAAATTTGTATACAAATTAGCGCTCAGCTAAAACAAATCCCTATATATCATAAGAGAAAAAAAATCAAGCCCCAAATTGTCAAACTCCATCACAATAATTTTTCTATTCAATCTCTTAGAACTGCAAAGATTTACATTTGCCAGATCACTTCAAAGAATTAAAATAAGCAAACTATGTCCTTTGCATGTGCCGTGTCTTCCTAAGAGAAAACAGATTTCTTTCACTGTTCTCTCAACTGCAGCAGATTTATACAATGCGGTCATCAACTTAATAAGGTGCAGATTCAGATTACCTATTTCAGATGGGCAATTTTGGCTTAGAAAGTAGGTATCTGATCCTGGCAAGATGACTAAGCTTCATTCAGTTCAGTGTTTTTCCCAAAGGTGGTACTTATCTAAGCAAGGATAAAGAAGTAAAGGGAGGCTCAAGTGTACATAAAAACACAAAAACCTGCATTCAACTCCCTTTCAGCCTAAAGGAATTCATGCCACACATCCTACTTTCCAGGAGCAACCCCAGGCACCAGCCTCTAGTCTAGGCCAGAAAAGGACATTTTCTATCACCGCTATTGGAGCTTAGCCATTGCATAGCCATGAAACCAATTTTTGTTGGACCAGAGAAAGTGCAAGTAGGGAGACGATTTGCCCTACATACTGCTGCTGAAGGGATGCAGTTTTCATTCCTGATTTCTTGATTTATCTCTATTTTTATCAAATCATCATGTCATATAAGATTGATAAACAGAAGTAGAGAAAAGAATTTTGCTTTCCACCAAAGCTGGAGGTTCACAGGGGGCCACTCCCACATTAATTTATAGCCTGATAGTCAGCATATGCTTGTGAATATGGGAATGTGGGTTTGAAACCCCGAGTCTCTGGAGGCCAAAAACTTAAGTCTCCCACTTCCTGGACAAACATGCTAACCAGAAGGGGTTTTGCAAGCTACTTTTGAAAGCTACCCCATGGAAAACATTGTGTTTAAAATCTGGTAAATTTTCAGTCTTCTCACAGCAATTGTGAGAAATGCCAAGACATTGTTACAAATGCAAACTGAACTAGAAACTCCTTTTTGATACTTACTGTAGAATAAAAGTGATAACTTAATAAATGCATTGATTGGAAAATTATTTTAGAATTATAAAAGGAAGTTCACCATGCTCTCATAGGCAAGTTTTCAACTACTGAGCTGGAGCAGCCACTCACAATTTTTCTCCATTCTCCTCCCTAAACCAGAGATGGTTCTGTATTTCCCACAGACACAGCTGAGGTTATCCTCTGAGCACATGCCCGCACAGGTATTTCAGCAGAAGGCTCTAGGTAGGTCCAACAGGTTAGGTTATTGACATATGTGTTGTTTAGTAAAGATTTTATCTAACTCATGGATTCTGGAATATGGAATTTTAGCAGAATTGATAAGGAGTTTGTTCTGACAATCTTTTGCCCCAGAGTATTTCACAATAAATGATTGTGATTGCTATGTTTTCTAATGAAATGGTATCTACATTTTTCTATACTATGTATAAATATATATAAACTATATATAAACTGTTTAGGACTGGGGGCCTGCTTTCTGCCCGCCCCCCCCCCCCCCCCCCCACCCCCATAACAAAATTAACTGTCTTTCAGCTTAAAAGATCATTATAAAGTCAAGTATCTAACCCAGATAATTACTATACCTGACATTTTTCTTTGAATCCTTCACCTTCTTACAGTCTGTGATATAAAATACCTTATCTGTGTCTCCAGATGACAGCTTTCAAAAAACTAATCCCCCTTTTTGTCCCTGAAAATATCATCTACATCTTTCTGGAAATTCATTCCGAAGATGTTAACTAATTGGATTTGACCTACAGTGAACATCTCATTTTCAGTTTTCCTACAAGGTAAATCCTAATCTTCTACTAGTAAGTCTAGAAGAGCAGATTAGGAAATATTTCTTTACTACTTCGGTAGCTTAAACTATGTAAAACTTCAAACGTATGTTCGTAAGAATTGTTGAGAATGTTTCACTCCTGAAAATTAGTATACAGGGAATCAGTCATACAACAAGCTATCATGTCTGTTCATGGCAGGGAACAGAATCTAGCAGTCAGTACTTCAGCAGAAAGATTTAGTAACTGCAGAAGTAGGTCCTTCAGGCACATAGTCACTAATGTGATCTATCCTTACTGATGTATGTTCATGAAAAGTCAAAGTAGCTGTTAATAAGGAAATGTTTACAACACATGAAGTTCTGGTTATAGTACAGTACCAGTACATAATTAGCATATCCCTGTTAACTTTAATCCAATGAGTAGAGATAGCAATAATAGTGATGACATCACTTTTCCTCCACAGCAGTCTTCAACATGTCTTCAACATGAGTAGTAAGAAATCTGATCAGTGTATTTTGAAGCTAGCCCAGCGGATATGCTATTTAATCTTCCTGGGTGCTGCTCTCTGTGCCTGTGAGATTACATTTGCCTAGACATGACTATCTGCAGCACAGTCTCCCATTAATCTGACTGCAAGGCCTTTTCTTCAGCAAAACAGTGTCTTATCCATACAGAGGCAGAGGTAGAGAGCAAATCATACTATTGGTTTTTGTTTTCATTGACTTCTGTCAACCAACTGATATCCTTTCTTTTCATAAAATTAAAGTTCTCCAAGGCAAGCACTTCCAAAGATACACAGCTGAGATATTAAACCTGAGATTCCAAAAAGTACCACCTTCTTGCATTCAGGTATGTTCATGATGAGAAAAAGGTATCGGAACTAAAATCAATTTATCTGCAAAAGAAGTGGAGTGGTTTGCATCAGCCCGTCAGGAGATGCTAATGGCAAGGCTGTCCAAGCCCCACATAATCAAAGGAAGTAAAGGAAAAGTCTTACATTTTTAATTCAATGAAAAGAACAAGCTCTTACTTTTTTCTGACTCTCAGCACAGAAATTACTAATACTTGATATGAATCACACAGGCATCCAAGGAAGCAAAATGGCATCAAGCTAAACAGAGTGCCCAGAAATAAAATTCCTTTTCAGACTGAATTTCTCCCTATCTGAGAATTAAGTGCTAAAAAAGCCATGGAATACACATAAAAAATAGAAAAAAATGTTACGGAAATACAATTTAATATTTTTTCCCCTTCATTCTCTCTGTGTTATAAAAACAAAAGAAAGCCAGGTGAGAAAGTGACATTTTTATCTGTCTCCCCTTTGCTCTGCTTACAGACAAATGGAAGAAAATTAAAACATAATAAAAAACCTGCTGCTGTGAAATTAACAAAATATGTACTTTGTGGCAAATAAAACACTTTTTTATGAGACATTCAGTTGAAGTAATGCTTTCACTTAGATGTCTGTAGCTGACAGGTCTACAACTGCCTCCAGTCAGTACTTGAACCAGAGATCAAAATTGATAGTGGTGGATTCCTCTATGTTTATCTAAAGAGGCAATATCCTTGTGCTGAAAGTAATCATCAGAATTCAGAATCTGCTTTAAATGATAATGTGCATGGATTTAGTCTTGTACAAAACAGCTCTAGTATATGGATAAAAGTTGCTCTTGTCTTTAGCTGTGGTCACGTTTCTGGCTTCGGTGAAGGGACCTTGTAAATTAGTAGTGCACTTTAAGCACCCTCCTATATAAATTAATATTATTATTATTATTGTGTCACCTTCACTCTGCAAAGCACTGATAGTTAGTCCCCTGTAAATGAAATGTAAACTCTTCCTGACATTTTATCTTTTTCTATTTTTATTCAGTCACATTGCTTCTCCAAAGGTTTGCTTGCTATAGAGAGACCTTTCTCAAGGGGACTCATTTAATTCCATGGCATGTGAGACATTCTTTTTTTGAAAAGGCGAGCAGCTGATATAGCATGCTGTAGCACAAAAGTAGTACGCTAAAATGCCAAAAAATATTTCTGGGGAAAGGAAAGTCAAAATATAGTGATATACGTCCTGTCACTTAAAGGCCATAACCATCTTGTTCTAGTTTATGATGACATGATGCTATAAGTGATAAAGGCAATTATGAATTTAAGAATTACTCCCATACTATTATCTGTTACCACGCACAGACTGTTTAAACATTTTTTTGGCTAGTACTCAATGAATTGCTTAGCATGTGGTGCTCTTCTTATACCAACTTTCAACCTGTAAGTGAAGTAACGATACATTTGGTAATACCTTCTGAACCTGACAGCAGAAATGCTAAAATGAATAGGTGTGACAGAGGACCTCTCACGAAGGTGTTTTTTACAGGATATACTTACTGCTATTTGGATTGTCACCTATAATATGATGTCGGCCACTCCAGTACCAAAGCAGCAATGTGGCGTCACGAGACCCAGACACGATGTAGCAATCACCACCGATATAGGACTCTGATCTGGCAAGGCAAGTCACGACATCCCAGTGGCCAAACACAATCTGAGTTAATTTTCCTGGTGGGAGTGCAAAGTGATACAAATTCAGTTTTTTTAAGTACTTGCAGCATTTAAAAATCATTAACTAAGTCATTAACAAATGTTCAGTTCAAATGTAATTTTTGCCTCATGTCCCTTAATTAGACTTCACTACATGCTACAAAAAGATTAAAAAATCACAAAGGTAAAACTTTTTTTTTTTTCTTTTTACATTCCTATTGAGGGCTGTGCTCTGTGTCAATCCATAGCCTAACCCTTATCTCTGAAAATCAAGTCAGTGCTACAGTCACTGAATATTAAGTGGAGTTACTGCTCCATCAGTATTTAAGCAATGGTGTTAGAACACCATTTGCGAATTTCATGAATGATATGCATAAGACAGTACATGAACTTTTCCATAATGGTGCTACATTATTATATTAAAAATGTGTATTTGTTCTATGTTAATGTCAAACTAAGGTTTACTATGATCATCACCTCCTTCTTTCTATTATTGCAATCATGTTTTAGCAATATACTGAATGATAATAGGCTGAGGAATCAGACAAAGAAACAAAATATTGGTTCCTGGTAGGAGGCTATGCAACCTACTTCCTTATTACATGGAATAAATAGAGAGAGAAACAATACAGCCATGAAAGTATTGTAACAAAAATTTTGGTTGGCCCTTTTGATATGATCAATTCCCTGAATATAACTATGGTTTTCAAAAGTTACCACTAAAAAAATTGCATGCCTTTCCATTTCCTTTTACAGCCTTTATCTTCCAAAAAAAAGCATCTTAAAGCTATTATGCTCAAACAATAATAAAGGATTTTATAAACTGCCCTTTATCATTTATTGAGGGGTAAGCACAGGCATTAGATATGGTAGTATTAAGACAACCGTCTACTTTGTGACCTAAGAAGAAACAGGTGGTTGTATTTAGGGTCACCTGTTTCCGTAGAATAAACTCGAAAGCTCTTGTCCCAGAAACCACAGATAAGAATGTAGCGGTTATCTGCTGTGACCACGAAGCAATGTGCATTGATTTGGATGCTCTGATCCACAAGGTCTGTGATCTGCCGTTTGTTCACACCAGAGTTATTGGCTGTAACGAAATGCAAAACACATTTTACAAGTAAGCCATTCCAACACCTTCCTGTCATCCACTTACAGGAGAAAATGAATACATTTAACTTTCAATGAACTGTGAATTTGTTGTTGGGTAAGCATTTTGAATATGAACATTTAGAGCTGTCTATATGGGTGTCAGAAATACAAAATTATTGTGAGATTTCTGGTTTCCCTTTGAATAAGACAAAAGATTTTACAGGAGATGACAATTTCTTATAAACTGCCTGATGCACTGCATAATACGAGGTAATATTTTAAGTGCTCTGCTGAATTACTCTCCAAAACTAAACCGAACTAACAGAAAACAATGGAAGTCCATTTAAAATCCCAAGTCAATGCTAACAATACTGCAGAAAGTCAATTCTTGGTGGTTGATACCTCTCCTACAGAAAATATCCCAGCTTGTGTTGTGTGACCTTGACATCTTAACTGGATCAAAGACGTAAGGATTCAACCAATGAAGCAATTTTAATTGAATGTGCTTTTTTTAACACTGTCTTCTCATCTACTCCTCAAGCAGGGAGCCAGGCCATGGGCGGTAATGTTAAAAGTGGCAACGCCACCTGGAAATTTCCCCAGATAGAGGGAAAAGGAATGGTTCATGCAGAATCCCACCACCCCCACTGTCAGATGGAGCTAGTGTGCTATTTACTTCCCGTGTCACACAACAGACAGGATTTGGCAATACAATAAAGGTGTGTTCCCTCTCACCTAACATTAACTTTCTAAAAGTTCAGTATATAATCTATGTTAATTATCTACGCTCCCTCCATACTCACTGGAGAGAGAGACATCACTTCACATGGCAAGTCATCTCACGCTGTAATAGCGGTCCAAGTGCTAGACAACTCCAGAGGACACTTTCTCTTCCTATAGTAGCTATGGAAGGAATCTTGACAACTAACTTCAGATAACTGAAGATTGAGTGAGATAAAACTCACTCTGAGAGACATGTTTCTCCTACCGTAGGAACATGACTTAATACAGATAATATTCTGAAATTTCTTTTGTTCCTCTTTTTTGTTATTCTACTTAAATTGCTCACAACTACATGACATAAAAGACTCAACCAAAAAAACCCTATTTTAAATTTGTTTGCAAAAGTTAATACTATGTTTGTGTACATTCCAAGAACACATACTTAAATTACCAGACCCTCTATGTCCATCCACTGAAAGATAATGAATAACAAATTACTCAAATTTCCAGAACACGTGGCCACAATAGTTGTGCCCTAGCTTTTGAGAGGAAAAATCTGAAGAAAAAACCATTGTCATTATATGAGCAAATGAAGCATACAGAATGAGAAAGCTAACTCTCCTGAGGTACTTGTATATAAATCTTTCAACTGCGAATATTGACACAGACGAAAAAGGAACTTTTCATCTGGAGATGTTTAAAAATGCATTTTTTTCTCACTGATGCTGCAAAATAGTCTCCAAGAACCTTCCCTATCCACAATTTCTGTCTCAAAAATATACCTACTGCAAAAAAATAAACAAACAAACACAAAGCAAATAGTTGCAATTAAAGCAAAATAATGACTGTTAGGAATACAAGTCCTGCAATCTCTCTAACAGTTTAAGTAGATGCTATTTCTCAAAATACTTCACTTTCTCAAATATTTTTGGATTTAAAAAATACAATCATGCATCAATTTAAAATCCAGCCTTTTCTTTGTTAATTTAGTAATGCCAACTAAAACAATCCTAATCATAAGTTGAATGAAAAGAAATGGATCTGCATCTGCACTGATATACACAGTGCTGGCTCTAAGAAATGAAAATATGTGAACTCTACCAGACCCTCACAGTTTATTTTACTAATGTGACCTGATAAGAGAACAGAATTATAGATATGGGCTGACAATGTAACTGACTTAATTGGTTGTTTCTTAAATACCAATTGCTGGTGATGTTAATAACAAATAGCACTCATGTAATTCATTCAGCATCAATAGCTAATGCTTTTGGTTCTCCAGGACTGACAAGAATAAATATTTTCCTATCTTCCATGTTAAATGAAGCATACTATACAAATATAGCTTAATCAATAATTCTTGAAAATGCCATTTTCAAATGTATCGCTACATTTTCATCTTGACATACCGATCAATGGATCCATTTCAATTGGAAGATGGTGGGCTTGATCCAAAGAATATCCTGGGGCTCCCCGAAGGCCTAAACATGAAAGGAAGAATAAAGCACATAGGAACCTTTTTGTCTAATTTTTTAATGATTTTTCTAGGTTTAAAACTGCACTATAGAATTATTATGTATTTTAAAAAAAGTAACTTCTATTATTGTTCTATGAATCTTTTAAGATTCCTTCCTCTGTGCTACAGAAATATGCATTTGTTAATTCTTCAGTTATGTAATAGTAACTATAAATGTATGAGTGCTAATTTCATCACGATTTCTGCAGCCACAAACATTCATTAACTCATTTAAAATAGTGTAACAGAGAATTTTTTTACATTTGAACACTGGGTGAGATCTAATAATAGCACAGAAAAGAAAAATAATTGGATTAAACATCGTTATGAGTTTCTCATATAGGGAAACCTGTAAATGACAGAAACTTGGACCTTTTCATGGATTTATCTAGAGTTTTTAGCTGGGAAAGTGTGGTCTACAGTAAATTTGCCACAATTATTCTTATTACTTCTATCTTGAGCCGTCCTTAAGCTGTTCAGCAGCAGCTCCATATTTAGTGTTATCTGCTCTGACGCACGGATAGCATTGCTTTGGCTCTTTTGAGCACCCTCCCTATCATATAAATCACGATGGCCACTACTGAAAACACAATTTTTGTCAGGAACTGCCATGTTGCACAAGAATATCCTCCATAAGAGATACAGAGTTCTGGAGAATAAACTCTGAGTGCAAACCAATGACTGAGATCGTTATGTTCTTGGGCCTTGTGTGGCTTAGTTCATATTTCTAACTTTACTGCTTTCAGTAGATCAAAGATAATGATGCAGGCTTGAAGATGTGGTGAAGTGCTGTATTTTATGTGATGTCTATCTCATTCCCCACTTAGAAGGAATTGCAGTGGGAGGGCGCTTGAGTGGTTAAATCCTAATCCAGGTTAGAAAGTGCATAGTTTCCTGACTATGCTGAACAAGAATTCCCACGAACACAGCTTTTACTAGTTTCAAATGTTTCTGCCTTATATTACACATCAGAAACTCTCCACCTTTGTATTCAGTAATAATTGTTATTTTTTACTATTGCAGCAGACAACTGGAGGGGGTAAAAGAAAACACAGTCTACAGCTGGCCCTGCCAGCTTCTGAAAACCACTGCTCTGAGAACTTCTCCTTCCCGCCTTTCTCTCTCTTCTTGCAAAATCAAACCAGTTTGGGACAGATCTTTACTAGTATTAGATTCATTTGATTCTACTGTAAGATGGCTATGTAAATGCCTTTCACTGTGTATAAACTCTTAAAGATAAGCTCTACATACATCCCACAACGATAAAAGTGCTCGGTGTGTACATTTCTGTAGATGAACATACCCTGTTTGTTTGTTTGTAAACAGAGAACAGGAACATTCTGAATACATGCGAAATTTTAATATTCATGCTAACATTATTTAAATGTTCAGAATAAAAGTCACATTAAAACATTACTATTCAAGAATTCAGACTGGTATTAACTTTACTTGCTCTGATAGTTCCTCTAATGCATGCCTATAAGGGAATTCCCATTCATTCCTCCAATTACTGCTTGTAACGCTGGTCTTTGGACAGCCTTGTGCATAAGAGGTGGGATCTATTTCACCTGACTTGGATTATTTATTGAGGAGCTGTTTACATTTAAGTCTATGGGAGGCAGACATCTAAGTTAAATCTCACAAATCCCTCTGCAGAAGGACCTATTTTGTCCAGGGGGTTCTCCTGTGCTGCAAAGAAGGGAGGATTTTTCTTTTTTTGCCTAGTCCTTACAAAGTTCCTGAGTCAGCTACTGAGTCATACTCTCAAACACCAGGTACCTTCTTGTTTTTCCCAGGTGGTAAGAAACCTTCAAAAGTTTCCAGATGCTGCAACATAAGAGCTACCACAGCACGAAGCTACCTTTGAAAATGAAACCTGTTCATTCCCAAGCAGGGCAGTAGCTCATGGCCCCACCACCTATTTAGCAATCCCTGGGACAACCTCAGAATCTACACGTCCAGGTGAGGAGACAGGACAGTTCTAACAGCAATATGGAGAGGCGAACAGAGGGGCTGGAAGGGAAATTTGGGATGACCTCATTGAGTGGGCCTTTGGGAGGGAATAAGGAAACTTCTCTTCAGAATAGTTCAGTGTCCAGCCGCTTAGGCTTGCTTAGGGTCCCACATTATCTACCGGTGGCCCAGGGGAAGGCTTATGACAAGCTCCTGGACAGACCTGAAATCTCTCTCAAGCAGCAGACAGTGATGTACGCTCTCTAGCATGCCAGTATGTATTCCTGAAACCTGGGACATATTAATATCGGCTGTGTCAAGAACAGCAGCACTCTCCTGAAAAGCACTATATCAAAGGCTGATCCTGATGTAACCACAAATCGATTGGCTGCCATGGTGATGTGCTGCTGTTAGGGAGAGTGTTTCTAAGAATGACACCAGAGAAAACACAAGCTTTGATTATTTGACACAAACCAGAAAAAACAGTAAATTTTTGTGCACAGGCAGGTGAGGGAGAATAACCCACATCTAGCTAAATTGCACTTGAAATTAAAGCTGCACTATTAAGGTCTTCAAATTTGAATGAAACGTGCCCGTGAGAACCTACCTACTGTGTTGTGCCACCGATTGACTGCAAACAGCCTGCTGCAGGTGACGGTCACCACGGCAGGAATGGTCAGGTGGGGCAGCGTGTTGGCTGCCACGTGTGTGACGGGGGAATTTGATGGGAACTTCAGCACCATGATGACATCCTGCTGCATCTGATCTTTAAACATGAGGGGGCTCTGTGGAAGGAAACACTGTTGAGTAGAAAGGAGAAGAGAGCAGAAGAAAACAGAAGGGATAACACAATTAGTGAGGAGGTCTGAGGGAAAACAAGGTTAAAAAAGAGCAGGCAAGCATGTGCACATACAGGGAAAACAACGCTACCTGCGTGTCTACACTAGTGATGGAGGACAGCAAGATCAGAAACTATTATCGGATCATTACACGAGGACAAGTAGAGAATAGGTATGATAAGGGTTATCGTTACAGGGTGCAAAATGACCATTAGCATTAATTAATATATAGTAAAATGTAAAATTATACAGCAGTTAATTTTCATACAATACAGATACGAGACAAATAAAAGAGTTAATCAATTAATACATCATAAATATAAATGCTATAAACTACAATGGTTGAAAAAAGAAACTTTAAGAGGGACTCAAAAACTCACTGATATTTAATTTTTCTTAATGAATTCTTTGTATGAAATACAGCACTTCCAAACATAGAGAATTTAATTCTATGTAAAGCATATACTTATCAGGGAGTCTGTAAGTAATTATAAACCCGTTTGATGATTCTGTGACACAGTTTTTTGTACATGTCCATGTCCATGGACAATAATACTGCTATTAAGTACTGTTTTTAATGTTGGATTTTTTTTCAACCACTGTTATAACAAATAGAATTATTTACAGAAGTTCAAATAATCCTTTCTACTTATCACTTTAAATTATTATTAAATATATTATCCATATCTTAAGAATATAAATATTATGTACATTTGACATCTACGCATTACTTAGAATAACACAGCTAACACTTCCAGATCAACTCCCACTTTCGCAGTGTAGGGTTTTTTTTCAACCACTGTTATAACAAATAGAATTATTTACAGAAGTTCAAATAATCCTTTCTACTTATCACTTTAAATTATTATTAAATATATTATCCATATCTTAAGAATATAAATATTATGTACATTTGACATCTACGCATTACTTAGAATAACACAGCTAACACTTCCAGATCAACTCCCACTTTCGCAGTGTACAACTAGATAGAGTGATTTCCTTGTAGATAGATAAAATGATTGAAACTACTGCACGTATTACTGTCGATTCACAAAACTTAAAAGAAAATATCTAGCTCTAAGCATTTAATCAAAGGCACTGAGGGGCACAGAGATCTGTCTCGTTCAGTCTGGCTATTTCATACAATTCTTTGCAAGAAGCACAGAGAAGAATGCGTTGGGAATGAATTTTGACGTTCAAATTGAAATTCGAAATATACATTGTATTCTCCCGGGCAAACAGGTGGGAGGATTCCAGTATGATTTGAACTCCAATACTTCATTTTTGTCAAGCAGGCATTGCTCATAAATCAGCCCCTAACAACGCATCCTTTAAAACAAAACAAAACAACACGCTCACTCTAAGAAAAGCCTGCAGTCATTCCCACTACTTGCAGAAAAAGGAATGTAAATATGTATTTATCAGGTGTATATTTATGAAGATAGGGCCTTTTTATACAACATTAGGCAGGAAAACCCAGGACTATAGGAAGCTATTCAAACCTCCACCTTGCTCTGCTAGAGCACTGTGAGCCATTTCTGCCAGCAGAAAGTACGGCTGCATGGGCAATGGAAGGCATTAAAAGTGTTGCTTAAATGGGTACTTTATGACCTACAAAGGATCCTCAGGTTCAAAGGGAATGCATTCCCGGCCAGCAGTTATGTCTCACCAGGTGCATGGCAGAGCTCCGAGGTGGATGGGGCTCAATGAGCAACTGCGATGGCGTCTGTCCAAAGTTCTGTATCTGCGCCTCCATGGCCTGCAGGCAAGGGAGAGGGACTGTCATGAGCAATATGCATCAAGGAGAGAGGTCAACACACTGTGTGACAATGCAGGCATATCCCAAGTCAGCCATGAAAAAAGTCCAGAAAATTCACCCGGTGCTCTCTTCCCAAGCTGCAGACTCATCCAAGTGTTAGTATTTTGTAGACAAGCTTTGCTTCTCCTTTCAAGCATGCTTCAGTTAACCAACTAACCATTCTCATTTCCAGCAACTGGCGTTATATGTGAAAATGTTAACCTGTGAGGACATGCAGTTCAGGTCTTGAGAGAGCTTTTTTTTTCACTAAAAAGAACATATATACCTTAATAAAGTCCTTTGTAAGGAGGAAAGTATGAGGATCTCTAATAAAATAAGCCTCTGGAATCTTAAATGGGGGGAAAGAAAAGCAAACTGAGAAACAAAATTCATGTATAAAATATAATAAAACCAAAATAATTACTATTTCAACAACAACATTAGTAGGTTAAAACAAAAAAATGCCAGAAACAGGTCTTGCCAGTCACATTCAGACTAACGTAAAAATCCTTCCAAGCTGCATACATTCACTGAGTATTTATTTCATGCTTAATTTTATTACATTTTTTCATGGGCTTTCAGGCTTCACAGATTTGAAATGAAAAATAAGCAATTTCAATGCATTCTTCAAGACTTAAATCTACTTTCAGAATAAGTCTGGAGTCATTTGATAGGGAGTAGAATACAGCCCATATACTGAAATGCTTCCACTACTCAAACAGTTCATTCAAACAAAAATATATTTAAGAGATATTCTTAAAAACTTTGGCAAAAGATTGCTGCGTGTAAAAGCAATACTGTTAAAGAACAATATTTTTCAAACAGACAGGTACCATTTTATTTGACCTTGTAAAATCAAGAATAAAGCATTCATAGAAAACTAAACTGGCAGATTTTGAAATGCACTGTGCATTACGTACCTATATATATACTGTACCCTGCACTACTGACCCTTAATATTTTTCTTGCAAGCTTTATGAATTTTTCATTTGCTACCACACAAGAAACATGAAAAAACACCAAAAACGTGACTATCTTGGTAAATTAGGTTCTTTCAGACATAAAATGGTAAGAAGCACAATAAATACTTCATGATACAGAAGAATCCTTTTAATCTACATATTCTGTAATTCCTACAAACCAATCTGTGTTTTCCTCTGCTTCACAGCATAGATGCAAGAACAGATGTCAGAGAGAGATTTCCTAACAGGTCACTAATGTCTACCACTCTTCATGCCCTAGATTGACAGGTATATAATGGAATACCACAAACAAACATTTGCCGAAAAAGAAACTTAATGCAAAGTCCAGTCAAGCGGCTGAAGGACTTTCAATGGAATGTAGCCCTAGCGCATTTGATGCTGTAATTACCCCGGTACAGGTGATTTCTTGCTTGTTCACTAATTCAGAGTGGACTTTAGTCTCCAAGGCACAGAGTGTTTCTTGGGAACTGGTGAGCATCTTGGGTTTTATTAACATCATTTAATGATGAATTATTTTTAAATCATAGTATAATTTTATACAAAACCAATGCAGTTGTGTGGGCGTATGCGTGTACGTGTGTACACGTCTATACAGCAGCTATCTATATGTAGCATATAAACAGTATCTCTTTACACGCTGTGTAGGTACCTTCATTCATGCATACACTTTTTATACAGGAATATAAAATTGACTTCAATTCAAATCAAAGGTAGCATTTTCTATTACATTCCGTACTCTATAACTGATTTGGTTGTTGGGGAGAAGGGAAGGAAATTATACTTGTTTGTGAATTTCATTTTCAAAATGACAAAGACTAATATCAACAATATCAGGCACCGTGTGATATGTGCTTCCACGCAGATCTGTCAATAGTATTTTGAGAAAAGTAATTTTCATTTTTCTTTTATTCAAATAATTATCAAGGTTAATTCAATTTTAATTTTTGAAAGAATTTGTGTTGAAATAAGAGCGTGAATTGCGTTTGGCAGCAATACTGAACAAAACCCAGCTCTTCCTCTCCCACCCTTTATAGTGATCTTTTAAATAATAATTCTGTTCTCTCGCAGGCAAACTGAAATGAATTATTAAATTTTTTTTCAGTGCAGCCCAATTGTAATTTACACATTTACTTTCATGTTGTCCAGTCTTGGCAAATTCTGATTGTTTGACTATAACTTCTGCACACATAAACTTTGCTGGCTTTGCCTCCCAGTTCAGATAGATTTATGATAGTAACAGAGGGAGAGAAAGAGAAGCAGAATACGATAATAAACCAGCATGAATTTTTCAGATGATGAGGAACAGACACTTAAAACATAACTGTCAAAAGCAACTGTTATTTTACAGCTGAAGATGTCCTGGTAAATACTGACTTACACACTTTATGTGCCCATAATTTTAAAACATTTAAGCTAATGCCAAGTCCTTCCATAACCAGAACTAATGCAGAATCAAGACCTTGATATTCAGGGAATATTGAATATTTTTGCTGGCTTGCACTTACAAAGACAACCGCCTCTCCCCCACCCCGTGGATAGTAATGTTATCCTTTTCTTTCAAAAATACCATTTGTAAAACTGACAATTCTTGGAAGTGTTAAAGAAACTGAACAATGTTTCTTTAAAAATACCCGTAATATTCAACTACTGTACTGAGACTATAGTCTGCACAACACCACAGCTGTGCACAGCTACAACCGGTATTCCTCTCTAGAGCTCACAACACTTAAAAAGGACAGAAAAACCTTGTCAAAACTTACACAGAAATTAAACATAAGCATACAGAGATAAAGTGACTGGCCCAAGGGTATTCCTAATGCTGCCTCCTATCAGGTCACTTGACACAAAATGAAAAGCAGGTACAGAACAGATCTGTGAATAATAATGTAATACATTGATTTGTTTACAAGAGAACTCTGGCTGTATCTGAAATTAATCTGAAAACTGGTAAGTGTACACTGTAGTTTTTCTTGAACTGTAAAGCACCAAACTTTAGATTTATTTAATGGTCTAAAACATTTCATTCTAAATAATCAATTCCTTTTCTCCCATCAAATCTTGAGTATTGTGTGCAAAGTGCTACACCACTCCCTGAGACACACATTCTAGTCAATTTAATACAAATTTTAATAAAATAAAGTTTATTCTCATTTAACCTTCAAAGCTCCTTTGTGTAGAAACAATATAAGCTTGGAATTCAGTGGCTGCCAGATTTAATGCTTTTGGAACAGAAAAATGGCAATTATATTAGTTTTCACTTTCTTAATAAGGTGTTGCAGAAAAGCTATTTAGTGAGCTGATTTAAGTTTCCCTACTGTTTTTAATACACATAAAATGAGATTTGTATTCCAGACACTTCAGGAAGTATCTGTTAGGATATGATCATGTATTGCAGAAAGATAAAATGGGTCTTAGCTTATTATTTGATAATCATAGGTCAGAACAAGAAAAGAAAAAATATCTGCAAACTTGCTGGCGATTCGAAGTTTCAAATGAGTTGATCTCACACATCCTAATTTATGCAATCAAGCAAAACACAACTTCATAGCACTTAATATTGGCCATCTAACAATATATAGATTCATATTATATGTTTACATACATTTTTTGCCAAGAAATCGATACATGAAATCATACAATCTTATGTACAATACTAATCTAAGTTACAATAAGTGATATCCTAAATACATTTTGCTCAAAGAAAATAAATTATTGGGTTCCAATTTTTATGCTTAAAGGCAGACTGTACATTCACAAGGATACTGGGATGCTCCTCTGCGACCTGGAGGATCAGTCCTTAGTTTCAGCTTCTTGTGAAATGAAGGGTTCAGTACATCTGCTTTGCTCATTACGCAGCCTACCAAAGTATTTGTTTTTTATTTCTTAATTCTGGTTGAAAGAAATACAAATCTGCCATCAAAGAATTCAAGCAATCTGTTTCTTCAGGTATAAGAACTTTTTTAGTGGTCAAAGGCAGTGTCTCCAACAGCAAGCAGTGTAACCCAAAAGGAGCAGAGCTGCAGAGCAAAAGAGTTGGTCTTGAGGAACCCATGCTGAAACCATGCACACTGCAGGATTTTCCCACCAGGCTGTATCCAGCATGGGCTGCAGACCTCCATCAGCTGAGCTCTGCTAGCTGCACCCCTGGAACACACTGCTTCTGTAGTTTAGAAGTCAGTTCACACATTTCAGAACTACTCTGCAGTGTGAATGAAAGCATGGCAAATAGGGATGATCTGCAGATTCATTTCAGAAGCACAGTCCTAATCTAAATGAAAATGCTAGAATTGACTCATCCAAAATACCACAAAAGTGAAGGTTTTGCTTGCTCTTTGTCATACGTTTGAAAAAAGGGTAAGCCATGAAGCAGTTTATTTTTAACATACTTTTTCTCTAAAAAAGTTCTTTAGAAATGCAGATAAAATCACCATGGAATATATGAATGGTCCATCTCATTTGCAAACTCCCCTTTGCTGAGTCACCCATGGTGACGACATAACACAAGAAATATAAAAGCGTGAGCACTTTTACTTTGAATCATGGAGGGAAGAAAGAAATTCCTAAACCCAGACTGCATTGCAGATAGTAATGCACTGTTTTTATTCTTACGTGAAGTAGCCGTGTTTTATTAATCTTCACTGGTTATTACCATAACCAGTTAAACTTTCTAAAATATGTATTATCTGAGTTTCTCTATGTTTTTATTACTTTTTTTACATACTCAGTCTTTTTATTACTAATTCCCATAATCCTGGTGTGTTTTGTTCCTCTTGTGTACCACACTCAGGTTTTTCTACAATCCATTTTCCCCTGCGCACAGGACTGAGCCCAATGAAGAGCCGAAATCCATGGGCATTTGAGAAATATGCACCACAGCAACAGTCATCCATCTCTGCCTTTCCTGAAAGTTTATTTCATTTTTGCATCAAAGTGAACAGAGGAATCCTTTATGTGCTCTCCCGCCCATGCAGCCAGCAC